GGCTGGGGGTCCCGGGGAGGGGGCGGGCGTGTGCGTCCAGGGCTGGGCTAAGCGGAGGACAAACAGCTGGCGACTGTCAGGGTCTGGCCGCCTCCCCGCTGCCCACACGCACCTACTCGCGCCCGGGACGCGCATTTTCCTTCCCTCGCCACGAGTTCACCTGGGACTTTGGAAATAACTGTGCGGTGGAAGCTGCGCTCCTGCCTTGTCATTTGCTGGGGGCGGGTGGCGGTGGTCAAGGAAGTGAACTTATTTTGTTTCTTCACAAAGACTGGACCAGGCGGTGCCTTTTTCACGCGAAGAGGTTACAACCACGGACACCTCCTCCGATACACTGTGTGCGCGAGGCAGCACCTCGGGCCCAAGGCAATAATCATTTCACAGAAAACGCACCGCCCCGAGTGTCTTATTGCTGTGATGAAATGGAAATTTAAATAAAAGGTCGAACACGTGCGTTCACTGGGAAGTATTGACATGGGTGTTACATCACCAGCAGCCAATCAGATAACTCCAGTCATGTTTATACTTCTACAAACCACCTTGTGAGTATTACAGTATGTCATAACGTTATAAATATTAGGCAGGGTTTTCCCCGGGAGCGGGGAGGAGTCTGCTTATACGGGCGTTGTGTGCGGCTCCGAAGATTGTATGTGACTCCGAAGATCGTGTTTAATGACAAGCATCAATTTTTAAGACTTTTTTTTAGCAGTTTATATTTCATATGGAATTTTTACATAGAATGATTAGAGCAGATTGAGCTGGAAATGAACCTCCCATAATTATAATCTTAGTGAGATTTTTTAAGAAAAAGGTCTTACAATTCCAAGCCCTTAAACTTCTGACTAAAATATTTTAATACGCTAAATTTAGCAAATTCTGAATTGTTTAAATTCATTTACTAATTTGCAATGTAAGATAAATCTTATTTGGGGGCAAACATATTTCAGGTAAAAAAAAAAGTTCTCAAACTGGAAAGATTTTTTTTCCTCTTTCAAGAAATATGTTTATTAGAGATCGGAACACTAATATAAAATAAGTTCAAAATAATTGTTGAGCTAGGCGTGGTTGAGGCGCACGCAGCTCCAGAGGCAGAGGTAAGAGGATTAGGGAGTTCAAAGCCAGCCTCAGCCACTCTGCAAAACCAAGTCTCAAAATAAAATGTAACAAAAGGGTTGGGGGTGTGGCTCAGTGGTTAAGCACCCCTGGAGGTTCAATCCATAATACCAAAAAAAAAAAGCACGTTAATGTAGTCATGGGATTACTGTCTTAATTTTTTTTCTGTTTTTAAGAGAAGAACAATATTTAAATCTTCAAATATATAATGTGAAATAGGCTATTTTCAAGGTACCTTTTAAAAACAAATTTTCCTGAACATATTATAAAATACCATGAACTAAGCACATGCTTGCACTTCCAGACTCCTATATTGATTGTATACATTGATTCAAAGCCACTTTCACTTAATTCACTGTAATTTTAGCATCTGTATAGTGTTGTATATCAAACAATAACATTAGTTCTACTTTACAGATTAAATGTAATTTCAATATAAAGAATGACACTACTACCCTCCCACCAAAGGACTTGGACTTTGAGTTATTTTTCCAATGATAAGCTTATTGTCACCTATCCTTGTTGTCCAGCCTGGGCACCAGTAATCCACAAGCTTGAATTTGCAATACAGGTCTTCAGTTGGTGCAGTTTGTAGGTCTATGACCTGAACCTAATTTGTACCTTAGAAAATGAGAGAACTCTCCCTATTGTGATTTATGTAATTTGTGCCATGTATAAAAGAATTAACAATAATACCATTCTTTGTCCTTAGTGCATTTTTAAAATTCTAGGCATTTTAAAAATATATTATTATATTTTAACCCTTGTAGTCGCTTTCCCTATTTAAAAAAGGAGTTACTGAAGTTAATTGCTTAACTGAGATGAAGGTGATGGGAAGTAGAAATGGACTTTTCAACTATAAAATTTGTTTTCATTCCAAAACTGTTAAATTCAAATCTTTGCTTTCTCTCATCTTATATCCCTATTGCACAATAGGTACTCTATTAGTTTATGCTACTGTAATTATATTTGCTTTCTAATAGTGTTAGAATCAACCAAAAGTGTTCAAATTCTTAATGGTGCTATTTTGTTCAGACATATATCTTACCTTATGTTATACAAAATCTACATTGTTGTCTGCCTGGAATTGTTTTATCATGAACTGATTAGAAATGAATAATACTAGATTCAAGTGATAAAAATAAAATGCTTAAATTCTAGGACCTCTATACTAACAGCCAAACAAGTACCAGTCAGTCTCATGTGTGTTTTGTGTATGTGTGTGCACATGAGCACACGCACATACTTGTGTATATATTTATCACTCTGTGTATGTGTATAAATATACACTCACACATGTGTACATATACATATTCAGTTGTTTTCCTCTGAACCCTGAAGGAAGATTGGAAACCTTGAAGGAATCAGGAAAAAAGTTTAAAGGGATAATAATCACAAATATCTCAGAATACCCGGTAACAAGGGAACTTTGAGTAACAGAAGGGGATCTCCTGCTCTGTAAATGGAGTTTTTAGGAATTCCCCCACCCCTTCCAGTCTCTAACTAGCAAGCAGGGATCTGTTCTCCCCAATAACCCATATATGTACCGTTAGGGTTCTACCATATTTAAGGGAATTCCCCCTAATGCTTACCAGGGGAACCCCTCAAGAATGGGGCATCCCCAACCAATTTGTCCCCTAATTTTACTTCAGGCAATGTAAAACTGCTGGAGGTTATGCTTGATGTTGTCCTCCCATAACTCTGATGGTGATTAGCTCCTATAACTGGCTCAGTAGTTCATCTTTCATGATCAGACAGTCCTTGGTAGAGGTATGTTGCGTCTATCAGCATTTTTGCCTCTTCAGGGTCTAGAGACAATCACCTATGATGCTATCAGTGGAAATTGACATGATCATCCACCAGAAGGATGTATGTGAGGTTAGGGGACCACCTTATACTCCCCAACCTATAGGCCCAGGCTGGCACAAAATAGGCAAATAAATAGTAAATGTTTATTGGGTAATTTATTGCATCTTCCCTTGCAATCTATTTTGATAGACAAACTTTTCTTCTGTTTGATTTTTATTTTTCTTGGTTAAATAACGTTATTCTTCAAGTATTGAGTTAATGTTTCCATCGCATTTACATTAAATGTAATAAAATATTACTATAGTTAAGTAATATTACTAGTACCATTATCTATGTAGTTACAGTGAATTACCATCAGTTTACACAATGTCCTTGTGAATTAAATCAAGGTAGAAATTATTATTATCATTTAACACATGGAGAAACCCTGGTACAAAAAGGTTAACTATTTTGTTCTAGGTTTTTGAGGCAAAAGTTAAGTTTATAAGGTTACCCACAAGAGTAAAATACCCTTCCATCTAAGGCACCCTTTGCCACTAAAGTATGTATTAACAATGTTATATCTGCATAATTTTTAACTACACAAAATTTTTAAATTTCTTGTGCAAATATGCTTATTTCCATACTTAAGGACTAACATGTAATATAGTCTTCCTTTTCAGTACCTAGCTAAAATTGTATTTTGGTCTTTATAGGTTGGATCCTAGCATATCTGTTACATTTATTACTATGTTTAATATCATTAAATATTTTAATGATATATTTTAACGATATACCATAATTGATTAATCCTTCATTGTTGAACATTTCATTGTTTACATTTTTTGTTTGGTTTTTCCACATAACTCTTTAGTGACCATCCTCCTTGAAAGTAAAACTTGATATGATAATTGCTTAAGACAAATTCTAAAAGAATTCCTGACAAAAAGAATGAACATTTTTATAAGTAGAGATTTTTAAAGTGAACTAGGAAAAGAAATATGACAAAGGCTTTATATCACTGATATACCAAGGGCCATTATAAATAAAATTTTAAAAACACAATATACACAAAGGAATATATCGAAAAATTACAGAAAAAGAAATACAAATGCTATAGTTCAGACATTGGGGTCTTCTCAAATTTATTTATTTTTTTAAAATATTTTTTTAGTTGTTGATGACCTTTATTTTATTTATTTATATGTGGTGCTGAGAATTGAACCCCATGCCTCTCACATTGCCAGGCAAGTGCTCCACCACTGAGCCCCAGCCCCAGCCCCAGCCCCAGGGTCCTCTCACATTTCAAATATGTTAAAACTTTTCTAAACTTCAGCTGGGAGTGGTAGCTCACACCTGTAATCCCAGTGACTCAGAAGGCTGAGACAGAAGGATATCAAGTTTGAGGCCAGCCTCAGCAGCTTAGGGAGGCTTTGTCTCAAAAAAAGAAATAAACCAATCCCCCCAAAACCAGGACCAAATGTTTTCTCTGATAAGTGGATGCTAATCCATAAGGGGGGCGGGACATGGGATGAGTAGTGGAACTTTGGGTGGGGCAAAGGGGAGGGGGGAGAGGGTGAAGTACACCTTCAGTCTGATCATGAGGTATAGGAAAGATGGTGGAATGAGATGGACATCATTACCCTAGGTACGTGTATGATTGCACGAATGGTGTGATTCTACTTCATGTACAATCAGAGAAGTGAAGAATTCTCCATTTGTGTACAAAGAATTGAAGAGCTTTCTACTGTCATGTATAACTGATTAGAACTAATAAAAAAATAAAGTACAAACAAGGTTAAGGAAAAATTTTTTAAAATAGCACAACAGAGAAAAAAGGGGGGCTGGTGTGCAGCTTGACGTTAAAATATCTCTGGATTTGATCCCTAGTACCACCACCCCCAAAGCCAGCCCTGTCCCCCCTCCCAAAATCCCTTAAAACCTAAACCCCAAGGTTATGACAATAAAAGGTGGGACTTTTTGTTGCTTATTGCATCATGAGGACAGAGCCCTCACAAATGGGATTAGTACCCTAAAAAGAGGCACTTGGGAGATTGTTTGCCCTATGTACAGTGACAAAATAGAGCAGGTACAGAAATCCATATGCAAATATAGGCATGTTTAAAAAGACATTCACCAGAATGGAGTCAATGATTAATAGTATAATTTCACTTGATACTACACTTTTTGTGTGTGGGGGGGACAGGATATCAGCAATTGAACCCAGAGGGGTTTAACCACTGGGCCACCTTCCAGCCCTTTTTTATTTTGAAACAGTCTTGCTAAGTTGGTGAAGGTCTCACTAAATTGCTGAGGCTGGCTTTGAACTCCATGACCCTCCTGCCTCAGCTTCCCGAGTTGCTGGTATTACAGGCATGCACCACTGCACCCTGTTCAAAACTTTCTTAATACATTTTCATTAATCTTATATTGAAAAAATAAAAATTATATTGAGTATGTAATAAAAAATAAAACTTTTCATTTTGGAAGAAAAATTAATAAATGACATGTTTTTTTCCTCAAGATTGTTGGAGAAATGTACTGTTCCTTCCTTTTCTCCATGAATTATGAACTAGTTTTCCAACCCCTAAAAACAAAAGATCCAAAGGATTAAAAACCATGGTGCTTTCTTTTCCTAAGA